TGTCGTCAAGACGCAAGAAATAGCCAGCTTGAGAATTCATGTGGAACGTGCAATAAACAAGATAAAGAACTTCCACATTTTTGACAGAGTGATTCCACTMCACCAGTTTGGATTAATYAATCAAATATGGACTGTATGTGCCATTTTGTGTARTGGRCAACCAAATATAATTTCTGTTAATCAAAATGAAACAGATTGATAATAGAATCATTAATAGTGACATCAGTTAATAGTGAGGTAGTGTAAGTATAAATAAACAAATCTGTGAASCAGACAAAAGCTAGTAAGTACACCATGAGCAGTAACAAATATCATTGTTTTGTTGAGCATATTTGAGTAGAGTGCAAACAGTATAACCATGAAATATTATTAAAACTAAATTCTACTGTTTTGTGCTAATTCTATTGTTTGGATAGCACTATTTTTATAGTACTTCATGGTTATATTGTTTGCTTTCTCTTATCTACTATGGTAATTATGAGATTACATTCAAAGTTACAATAAGCTCTCATGTAAACATATTAAACTTCAAAATTTTATTCGGTTGTTTTGATATAAATGAAGAATTTTGTATATGAAAAATATATTTAATGAAAATACAATATTTATGAAATGTGATTAAGATTGACACAAAGTCTAATAATTATGAAGACGTGAAGTTATTGCTGTTGGCATCATAACAGTTTTAACTTTAAAAACTTTCTATTTCAATGACATCTATGTAGTAATTAAATAACACATTACATTGGCATGTGGAAATTTTATCTTCTTGTGTCCAATTACAATGTAAGATATTTTTTTTGCTGCAGATATCAACAATTGAAAAATGAAATTTGTATTTATGTATGCTCATGCAACATCCTCAATGTTTAATTCATGGCCAGTTTGCACATATTTTGCAGTCAGGTCTGTACATGACAAATGTAAAGAATGATAATGACATGATATTATATTATGTAAAGCATGGTATTTGAGAGTAAAATAAATGCCATGAAACTCTTTTGCTTGGTTACTTACATTCAATTTTGTGTACTGATAAAATTGGTATTAGCATTCAAGCAACTCAGAATTTGTCTGTAAGTATACTAATTCCATGAGTTTTATTGTGCCGAAGAGTCATTGGCTAAAACTGAAGCTGCATGCTTGATGAAGTGTCCAAAATAGTACTGATGAAGTTTGGACTTCAACTGCTCCCAAAACTGAACATTCACAGGTATTCTTTGTACATATAGACCAACCTTGGTATAAACTATAAAGTCACACCATTTTGCTCCCGTGATGCCTAGCTGCCCTTGCACTTGGGCATAATATGGGTGGTTTTCCTTCAAAAGGCATGTATTGTCACCAGACTTTTCCATGAAGAAGTTCACATCAGTACAGGCATCAAGTGGTGACACATTAAATTTAGTGATAGGGCATTTGACTTCTGCAATACCGTAGGGGTAAATACAACCACTGTCTATGACTCTTGCGTCAGGTGTTGCTCCGAGGATGGGGAATCCTTGATCGATCACAAGTCCACAGTTCAAAACTTGAACGGGTGTGTTTCTGTTGTACATAAACTTTTCATATG